TCATAGCGACCCCCATGGGGTTTCCGAGGCAGTAAATCTTTACAGAAGTAGATTGCCCAGTCTTTCTTCCACAGAGTGGCTGGTGGGTTTGAACCACCAATCTTCCTGTTAGCAGTCAAATGCCTTAGGCACTACGACACCAGAGCTCGGACAGTCGTAGACAGCACAACAGAATCCCAATCCACAGAAGAAGGGGTTATAAGTGTAGTTCCATGTAACTCAAATATGTCTTAAGTTGGGGACTACCTGTACAGGTAACACTCACTATCCAGTCTAGCTTGGTCAAAAAACTTGGTCAAATAAGTCAAAGGCACAGTTTCAGTAACAGTAACTTTTTAAAGGACCACATAACAAGTTACAACTGAATACAGAACTTTTACTCGCTACAATCTCTACACAGACCAAGACGCATTCATCACAACAGAACAAGGAACTACTGCATACTTTTAAATCAGGAAAGGTGTGCATCAGGATTGTATCCTTTCACCATGCTTTTTCAAACTGTATGCAGAACAAATAATCCAAGAAGCTAGACTATAAGAACATGGCATCAGGATTGGAGGAAGATTCATTAATAACCTGTGATAGGCAGATGACAAAACCTTACTTGCTTAAAACAAAGAGGACCTGAAGCACTTCTTGATGGAGATCAAAGACTACAGCCTTCAATAAAGATCACACCTCAACATAAAAAAAAAAACAAAACCCAAAATCCTCACAACTAGACAAATAAGCAACATTCATAATAAGCAGAGAAAATAATGAGGTTCTCAAGGATTTCATTTGACTTGGATTCACAATAAAGGGCATAAAGCAACAGTTAAGAAATCAAACATCTTGCACTGGGCAAATCTGTTGCAAGAGACCTCTTTAAAGTGCTAAGGATCAAAGATGTCACTTTGAAGAGTAAGGTGCCCCTGACCCAAGCCACCGAATTTTCAATTGCCTCATATGCATGTGAAAGTTGGACAATGAGTAAGATCACAGAAGAGCTAATGCCTTTAAATGATGGTGTTGGTGAAGAATATTGAATGTACCATAAACTGCCCTAAGAACGAACAAACCTGTCTTGGAAGTACAGACAGAATGCTTCTAGAAGTGAGGATAGCAAGACTTCCTCACATGTACTTTGGACACATTATCATGAGGGACTGGACCCTGGAGGAGGACATCATGGTTGGTGAATGGTCAGCGAAAAAGAGGAAGACTTTCCACAGGATGGACTGATAAAGTGGCTGCACAAATGACTCAAACCAACCAATGATTGTGATGAAGGCACAGGCCCAGAAGTGTTTTGTTCTGTTGTAGCTAAGAATGGCTGTGAGTCGAACCACTTGGACAGCAGCACCTACTCAGAACTACTCACAGGATGGGTAGTACCAACAACGTGCTCAGCTGCTCATGAAAGGTTAGCAGTGCGAGTCCACCCAGAGGTGTGAGAAAAAAAAAGCCTGCGCAAAATCAACTTCCGAAATATCTGCCACTAAAAATCCCACGGAGCAGCACAGTTCTACTCTGACACACAGGGGGTCACTAACCATAAGCCGGCATGGCTGACCGACAGTTGGTTTCTTGTTGCTGTTTTAGTCAAGACAAGACATACTTTACTAACAAGAAATAACCTCAAGGAAAACCAAAAAAAAAAAAGTGTCTAGAAGGCAGAAAACTGGAGATGGACGAGTATTCGATAAATTGCTTCTCCGAGAGCTAGGTAGGGGCTCTAAAAACAGCCCAGTGGATCACCACAATGCAGTTCCGAAAGTGGCCAAGCGAACACAGCTTGGAGGCCGTTGCAGGGCCCAGTTCCGCCCAGAAAGCGCAAAACGAGTTCCTGTAACACAGGAATACTCCTAACTTAGCTGAGCTAGAATCAGGTAAGCGGCCCATGAGAAGACGCGTGGAGCCGCCACGGGTACCTTTTACCTTGCAAACGGGGCCTGGAATACGGTCTCTATCTCCCTCCTCCGCCTCCTCTGCCGTGTCGTGCGGTTTAGCCGGCGGTCCGGCATCTTTTTTACTTTTTTTTGCCCTCTTGGTCTGGAACGCCAGGTCTCCACGCCGCTTCCTCTTGGTCGCCGCCATCGTGCCTCACCGCCTTCGCTCTTCCTCTTCCTTCCGGCTTGGCCACTCTCACCTCCTTCCGATCTCTATGGTACCATATGCTAGTCTCTCTGGTTCTCGTTCAGCTCTATGGTGACACTTTCCGGTCTCTATGGTACGTCTAGTAGTCCACCAGTTCTTCGGCGACCGTAGCTGAGGCACCGGGCGGCTCTTTCTCCGCGTGTACCCGGACCCCGGGCCTGGCTTTCTCAGTGACCCATCTGGGTAGGACTCACAGGCATCCCGACCCCACAGGTAGGATTTCCGCGCCCTACAATGCTTTCCCGCGGGCGGGCTGGTGAATGGCGTTGTCTGTGATTCTTCCAGCATCTTCTGAAGAGTCGGGGCCTGTCTCTCACGTCCAGTTCGGTTAGAGAATGGGTTTATGGCGCGACACTGCTCAAAACAGATTTGGCGGGAGGACACAAATTGGCCCCAAGTAGAACGTGTCAGTTGCATATTTTCATTCTTAGCAACTTTCCTGGTAGGTGTTATTCCCATACTAAAGAAGAGGAAACTTAGAGAAGTGAGTGATTCCCCAGAGTTGCAGAGACATTTAAGTGGCGGAGTTTGAGTTTGAACCCGGGCACTTCCAATTCTCCTCACCGCCCCAGCGCAGATTGGGATCCGCGGGCCTCGCCAACGTTGACCGGGTGTATTGCTGTCGAATCTCATCAGGTGTTTCGCGATCCTTGGGAGCAGGTGTTGACCTCTCTCGGGTCGAATGTGCAGGGGACGATGCCCCTCCTAACCCAGCAGATCGAAGCTGATTATGATCAGTACAGCCTGGTGGCCAGCCTTGACAACGTCAGGAATTTCTCCACTATCTTGAAAGCTATTCATTTCCAAGATCATGCCACGTGTTTTGCTACCAGAAATGGAATCAAGGTTACAGTGGAAAAAGCAAAGTGTGTGCAAGCCAACGCTTTTATTCAGGTATGGAAGTAGGCACCGTTAAGCCTGTGACATAAGACGTTTGTTAATTCTGGTTTAATGAATTCTGCAGCTCTTGATAG